TGATCCCAGGCATACAGCCTCATCTGTAAAGCGTGGTGGAGGTGGTGTCATGGTATGGGCATGCATGACTGTCTCTGGAACAGGCCCTCTCAAATTTAATGATGACTTAATGTATGATGACAGTAGCAGAATGAATTTGGAAGGGTACAAGCCATCTTGGCTACCAATATTCAAGAAAATGGCACATGACTCATCAGAAAGCTCTTTATATTGCATCAGGACAATGACCCAAAACACTCTGCCAGTTCAGTCAAGGAGCTGATCAGGGCAAAGAAATGGAAAGTCTTAGATTGCCCAAATCAATCTCCAGATTTAAATCCGATTGAACATGAATTTCTCCAGATGAAGAGAAGACTAAAGGAAAAAACTGCCCAAAACTAGCAACAGTTGGTATTGGCTGTATTAAAGGCTTGGAAAAGCATTTCAAAGGATGAGACCAAGAGTCTGGTGATGTCTGTGTGTCGCAGACTCACTGCTGTGATTGCACGCAAGAGATCTGCAACTAAATAATAGCTTTTAATCTTTTACATCTGCCTTAAAGGGTTAGTTCACCCAAAAATGAAAATTAGCCCATAAATTACTCAGACTGTACCGACAGTCAAGACGCCTTAAAAACGGGTGCGCGCAAGAAAACTTGTCCGGAGATTTACATTATCAACCCATACACATCCAGTGACTGCCAGCTGCATTGCACGTGGGGCTGTAATGTTGGCTATCATCTAAAGTATATGAATGGCGGCAATACCGGCGTATTAAAGAAGAATAGTGTAAGCAGCACTACACACCCACATGAAAACAGCAGTGCAACCAGTGTTTATCATAGCAAAGGCAACATATCAGATGAATTCCGTGAGCGGAGGACGAGAGCGCCGTAGTTTATGCGGTTAGAGGAAATCTCTAGCATTATCGGCCATTAATCGGCTGTCGGTGAACATGTCAAACCAGCGATCAAAGACTACAGATTTTAGCTTAGGATTATAGGAATCTTTTAGGATTTTCAAAATTGGTCTCAGACGACCAAATCGTGGCCAAAATCGCAGTGTGAGCTGGGCTTAAGTGATGGGAAATGTATGATGACAGCAGCAGGATGCATTTGGAAGGGTACAAAACCATCTTGGCTACCAATATTCAAGAAAATGCCACCAGACTCATCAGGAAGCGCTTCATATTGCATCAGGACAATGACCCAAAACACACTGCCAGATCAGTCAAGGAGTTTATCAGGGCAAAGAAACGGAAAGTCTTAGATTGCCCAAGTCAGTCTACATATTTAAATCTGATTGAACATGAATTTCACCAGCTGAAGAGGAGACTAAAGGGAGAAACTCCCCAAAACAAGCAACAGTTGGAATTGGCTGCATTGAAGGCTGGGAAAAGCATTTCAAAGGATGAGACCAAGAGTCTGGTGATGTCTGTGGGTCGCACACTCACTGCTCTGATCGCACGCAAGAGATCTGCAACTAAATAATAGCTTTTAATCTTTTACATCTACCTTAAGTTCATCTGTCCCAATCCTTGTGCTCACATCAGAAAGTGGGATGAACTATAGAAGTGCTGTCCTTTTTATTTGGTCATATTCATCTTTTAATCATATTTGCAAATGGCTCGACTCCACAGCAAACAGAGCAAATTTGTCTTTACTGTTCCAATACTTATGGAGGGCACTGTATATATACAGTGGGTACGGAAAGTATTCAGACCCCCTTAAATTTTTCACTCTTTGTTATATTGCAGCCATTTGCTAAAATCATTTAAGTTAATTTTTTTTCCTCATTAATGTACACACAGCACCCCATATTGACAGAAAAACACAGAATTGTTGACATTTTTGCAGATTTATTAAAAAAGAAAAACTGAAATACCACATGGTCCTAAGTATTCAGACCCTTTGCTGTGACACTCATATATTTAACTCAGATGAGCAATATCACTCGAGTACGAGAGCGATACCGGCTCTATAACAGCATGACTGTGATTAGGCCAGAGGCACAAGGCAATCACAGCCGCTGATATAGAGCCGGTATCACTCGAGTACGAGAGTGATATTGCGTTTATACAACAGTTCGACGGAACATGTGTGTAATTAAACAAGAAACA